GTGATTGCTTCTTGATGAAAAGCACGTAATGCTGCTCTTGGAACACACTGTGATAAATGTTAACACAGTGTTACCAGGAACTCTGTTTAATACTTCAGCCATGAGACAGACACAGACGGCAGGCCAGGAGACTCGGGTATGTGCCTTGCTTTATTAGTGTATTGGGAAGGCCACTGACAACCTCATCTTTGAAACTCTGTGGGATATAAGAAGCTACACTGGAGTGTGAAGAGTGCCCCTAGAAGAGTGATTGCACAAAATAAATGAATTCACTGTTAATATCCAACTGGAATCAGCCATTAGATGGTCAGAGTCTCATTTAAAGCCTTACTTGTTAGAAATGTGGTAGGTACATCTTACTTTTCCTCTCCCTTCAGCCTTCCCTTCTTCCAAAATAAAGTGGTGTGCTAATCTTCTTGAGCACGAGGTGGCAGGATTGAGCTCCACTTTAAAGGCAATAAAAGTAAATCGCTGCTTGAAAAAGATAAGGAAAAATCGCATTCATTACTCAGCAGTGCAAAATGAGTGACGATTAAGAAGGTAGATGAAACTCTAAACAAGTGGAACACTGCACATAACAAAAGCTGGGCTAGGACACTTAGAGCGTACCTTGAGATAGGAGGTAATTCTGAAAAGAGCTGTGTGGAAGCGATTTTTGTTATTGAGGGAAAAGATGCGGGAGATTGGGAAAGAGGGACAAGTCCATCTCAGCATAGTTACCACGTAGCAGACTTCGGAGATTTAAGTTCATATGTGTGCTGTAAGTCATAGTGCAGCTGTGTCCTTCCGATCATGGTTCAGTATGAATGCAGGAAAATCTTCATGTGGGAAGTTGCATTTGGAATCCGCATATAAGTCTGGTAAGCAAAAAATTACTGATAAAATCTAGAATTCCTACAAGAGGTCCATACTTCCCCTCCTCTAACTGCTCAGAATCCCCAGACAGTAAGAAAAATGCAGGAAGGATGCAAAGCCTCTGTTGCAGCTTTGGTGTTGACATGTAAGGCTTGTCCTTTTGAATGCATGCCTTTGGGTAGGATAGAACACTCTGGCACAATCATTCATTATACTCTCACCTTTCCCTAGCTTCCATGGCTTAGTTCCCAAGTTATACCCCCAACTGAATAACAGCACTCTTGCAGAAATTCTTTGAACTTTCAGACCTTGTCTTTTTTTTGCTCCAATCCATCATGCTGCACCTTTCCAGATACTTACTGTAATTTCTATTCTATGATACACAAAGATGCTTTATGTATGACAAAACTTCAAGTTTCAGGGCAGTAATTTCAAGAAAACACTTTGATTATTCAGCATATTCATAATACGCTCTCATAACTTCATTTACACTAGTAAAAAATGACAAAGAAATGCTCACTGCAAGGGAAAAGAACACCTGCAAGGTTGTTAATTTGTTTTTAACTAACAGTGACAAATTTGATTCTGACTCACCTGATGTAGGGAGGTGCTCACCTCCCTCCCCTCAAGAGGCTTGGTGCTTGAGATCCTGGCATTCTTTGAGGTGACCCATTTGTTGTACTAGTAATACAGAAGTTTTTGTAATGTCTGACACGAATCTTCCTGGCTGTAAATCAAGTCCATTATTTCTTGTCCTCTCTAGTAGACAAGGGAAAAAAATTTCACCTATCCCCTGCAGAACACTTTGCATATTTCAGGAGTCTTATGGCACCTCCCTTCAAACTCCTGAGCACCGAACAAAACTGCTCTTTCAATCCTAATGCAGACTTCATATTTTCTAGGCCTCTGATCACACTCTGTTGCTGTGTCACATTTTTAGGGCTTTGCTCTAGTTTTACCACCTTTGGGATGATGTGTGCTCTCACGGCACTCACAGAAAACTCCTTCTCTCTGGTGGTTTGGTTGTGATTGTCCTTTAGATAATAGCTCATGGGCAGTAGTTGAGCAAAGCCTTACTCTGTGAGGAAAAGCATAGAAGAATAGTGCTATTTTTGTAGACAAATACATTCATGTAGAAACAGTAATAATTTGTCATACCTCCTTTGTGCCACTTGTAACACTGGAACTAAAGGACTCCAGGTTCACAGCTGTGCCTGTGGAGGAGGTATCCCTTTCCCCAGCTCTGCAGGACAGCTGTGGTGGTTCCAGGTGGAATACTCCCTTCATTTCAGACATGTTCTGGGCATCTTTTCTTATCTTCCTCCACTCCAGCAATCTATGTCATTAAGCTCTACATTTAGAGATGGTGGTGCTGTGAGCCCCAAGCCTTCTACAAAAGGACTGTCATGTGCCCCAGCAGTGCATTTGGGGAAAATCCAAACCATCATCTACAACAGGTGCTAATGCTGCTTTCCAGCATAATGATGCTCCAGCATCATTTAATGTCAACCCACAGCTCATCAAGTTCTTATCTATAGAGCTTCATTCTTCCAACACCATTGATCCATTGGACCACTGGACCCAAATGTGTGGCTCCACATAAAATTTTGAAAGTTCCAAATTTTCTGAAAACCCAGAAAACAAACTTATTTCCATGAGATAGTAAAGTCCAGTATGAACCCGTACAAAATCAGAGAAATTTAAGCTTATTTTCATGAAGTCATTAGGAATATTACCATGAGTATTTATTGCCTTTAAGAGCTGATGTTCTTGTGTTCACCAAGAAGAAATCAGGCATAGACCTGGAAGCAGATTTCTCTGCAGAACAGAATTTCAGATTCTGCAGTGTTTTCCAACGATTGGAAGTTTAACTGCAGTAGAGACCTCTCCCCAGCTTTTTTTGTAAATAGCATCATATTGCTGTTTGTGCTATTAATCTTCCCGTCTCTTCTCCTCCTTAAACACTTTAATCCAAATCCTTTAAAAATCCCAACCAATACTGCATCTAGAACATTGTCCTATGATTTTTTTTAATATCTTACTTGCTATGAACATTTCCATTTAGAAAAATTTAAACAATTAATGCCTCCTCCTCCCAATTTTTTCCAGAGTTGTGTTACCTACAGACAAAATATCTTGTGCTTGAATAATATTTTTATTATTTTTTCACATTCTTATGCTGCACTGTGTGGGTTTAGGACATTCTTATTGCTTGGGGCTCTCTGAACCCTTCTTGTGTTTTATTTAGAAATGACAGAATGCTGGACCTGACAGGAAAGATTTGTATTCTGAGTAGAAGACGTGTACGTGTGCAACCATTTTATTCAGATTTCTAATAAATTTGACGTAAATATGGTAACCTGATTGACACTATTTTAATTTACATATCTTTTTCCAGTCTTTACTCATTGCCCTATACAGAAGCATGAATCAGAGTTCCGGCGAGGTATGTCTGCAGCTGTGTTAGCAGGATGTTCTTTGAAAGCAGAACAGCCCTGATGGTGACTGTGTCAGGTCTATGAATGTACCCAGCAAGAACTGTACTTTTCCGTAGCCTGAGAAAAGCAAATAGAACAGAGTGTTCACTCAATTAATATGTGACATGTCAAATTGATTCCTGAGCACCTTCTAAACAGCATAGTGACAACTTGTTCTGTATCTTAGTAGTGAAAATTCTGTGACCATTCTTTCTGTAACTCAGTGGTGGAATCCTGATGTACTCATTTCAAAATACCCAGCCCGAGCAATTCAGTAAGAAAGGGCCATCACCATCTTTGAATACAATGGCATGTAGGCAAGCAAGCAGTCTGCTAACCAATGAGGCAGTGACTGCCCGGTATTTATCAGGGCACGAGGAACAGTGACTCGGAAATGACAGAACAGCAACACTACGATCCCCAGTTTCCCCGACCGGTCGCTCGTTGAATCTGCAAACACATGACACGCGTGTAGGTCAGACCTGCACCAAATGATATCCCCCAGCTCTAGGAGCCCCCATAGCCGGGTGCCGCACGGGTCCGGCGGGCAGCCGGTGTAAATGACGGCCGGCGCTGATTGCCGCCGGTGCCGCGGAGCTCCGCGGGGCGGCGGCCGCGGGCGCGGTCTATGGCGGCGGCGGGACGCGCGGTGGCGCCTGCGGAGCGCGCAGCGCCGGCCACTGCGGCGGGCTCCGGGCGCAGAAATCGCTGCGGAAAACCCGCACCCTGAGAGAGGAGGAAGGAGGGGGAGAGAGAAAGGGGGGGACGTTTGTAGAGGAGAACGAGAACCAGACTGCTGAGCTGCCGAGGGATGGACAGGGCGTTCTGGGGAAAGAGAAAGGCCGCTCGTCTGCCGCCTCCCAGAGCTCTTAAGGCATCCTCCTTTAGCGCCCCGAACCCAAGGGTGCCGTCGCCCCCGCCCCGGCAGCTGCCCGCTGCCTCTCGGCAAAGTGTTCCCACACGCCGCCCCGGCGGCGCCATGCGGGGCGCACAGTCCGCACCTGCGGCGGGGAGGTCCCACATCTCCCAGGGGTGCGTGAGTGTGCATGAGTATGTGTGTGTGAGCGAGTGTGGTTGTACACGCGAGTGAGCGAAGGCTTCAGCGCAGACTGCCTATTGGTATCTCTCTCTTCGGCACCCTCCCTCTTATCCTCCCACCCTCCTCCCTCCCTAGTTGCTTTTGTTCCTTTTTTTTTTTTTTTTTTTTTGGATTTCAGATTTCAGGCTCATTTTGTGGAGTTTCTGCCCCTCTCTGCGTCAGCTCCACGTCACTTTGCCGGCTGCTCCCCGGCTTGGGCTGGGAGCAGGAGCCAGGGCTGCTTTATTATCAGCTGGAGGGAGGAGGAGACGGTGCGTGAAGCGGCAAGCTCGGCGCCCCGAGCCTCGCCGCCGCCGAGGGCTGCGCCCTCCTTCCCCGCCCGCCTCTCTCTCGCGGGCAGCGACACCCGAGCTCCCGCAGGTAGGAGCGCAGCCTCCGCCACCTGCCCCGACCGCTCCGCTCGGAGCGTTTTGCAGCATCATCGGGAGCCGCCGCGGGGGCAGGCGGTGCCGCTACCCGCCCGCGGAGCCGGGGCAGGTGCCACCCCGAGCCCCGCTCGCTCGAGTCCCGCCGCTCCGCAGCCCCGGGCGGGCACCGCGGCGGGGCGGCTGCGGCTGCGGTGCGGCGCGCCCATGTGAGCCCCAGCCGCGGGGTGCCGGCCCGCGGCGCAGAAGGCTGCGCACCCTCCCTCCGGGCGTGTGCCCCGACAGCGGCGGCGGCAGCAGCTGAGGGAGGAGGTCGTCGGGCAGCGCTGGAGTAAGCGGGAGGCATGGTGTCCTGGCGGCGGAGGCCAGGTCCCGGCCTTGCGCGGCTGTGGGGCTTGTGCTGCCTGGTGCTGGGCTGCTGGCGGGGCGCGCTAGGCTGCCCCGCGTCCTGTCGCTGCAGTTCCTGGCGGATCTGGTGCTCGGAGCCAGTGCCGGGCATCGCCTCCTTCCCCGTGCCGCAGCGGAGCGCCGAGGATGACAATGTCACCGAGATGTAAGTACGGGCGAGCCTCGGCCCCAGTCCGGGCGCGGCGGGCGGAGGGCAACTTCCCCGTGCGGAGATGCACTTGTTCCGCGGGCAGCCGCGGTGGCTGGGAGCCCGAAAGCCCTCTGTGATTTAATTGTGCTCGACTTGCCAGCGATTCCCTTGCGAGCCCACTGGGATGATAAATCCCCATTGCCGCGATGCGGTTCCCCACGAGCGGGGCGGGAGGTGGGTGCGGAGTCGCTGCCGGCCGCGGAGCAGCGCGGAGCGGGGTGGGCGCCCGATGTTGCCTCCGGCTCTGACCGCCCCCGGGGTGCGCGTAGCGCACCTCTGCAGCGGACCCGTCTTAAGTTATTGATTGGACGAGGTCTTAAGTTATTGATTTATTTTACTTTCGCGCCCCCAGTTTAATCCTGTGAGCTTTAGCAGGATTTCACCCTCTTCACTGGTCTCTTCACTTATACCCTTTCTCTGTTAGGGGAAAAAAAAATAAAAAAGAAAGGGAAGGGATGCGGCATATTCTGAGAAAGGGCAGCCGCAAACTGTCTTCCCCTCCCATAGCCATAGGAGTGCGAGCCTGCTTTGCCCTTCTCCGTAAGTTGGCCCCTAGCCTGCAGGGGAGCGAGCCGGGTGCTCTCTTAGCGAGTGATGGAGGATTAGGAAGACCATTAATAGCGAGGAAACTGCAAAAAGTTTTTTTCTGTCTCAACCGTGTGTGGCTTCCATCCCTGCTTGTCAGCAGTTGATTCTGGTAAGGGAGTTGTGTAGCAATTCCTGCTCAATCCTGCATCCTCTGACAGCCCGGCACTGAGGGTCATCTGCATGCCTTAGCTGAGAAAAGGCACAAGGACACTTGCTGAGCAAAAATGTTGGATGCAGGGGTGCAGATGACAGACCTGGGGGAAAAGCCTTCTAAATGTGCTTTTTCCATCTCTTTCTTCCCCGGGCCCCGTTGTTTCCAGATTTTTTCACAAAAATTCACAAACATTTTTTTCACGTGACAATTTTATTGAAAAAACTTCTGGAATATTTTTCCCCAAATCCGTACATATTTCTCGCGGTTTCATTTCTACTTCCTTCTCCTCTTTCTCAGATTTCTTTAGAACCAACACAAAAATTACACAAAGTGTCGTTTGATATTAGATTAATTCAATAGCCTGTGGGCTACCTTTCTGCACTTTGTAGTCTGCTGCATTTCCCAGTGAGTTTAGGGGAAAAAATGGGGGCTTTCATCCCTGCTGTTCCTCTGTAGCCTATCTTTAGTAGATTTTAGGACCTACAATTTGTCCAAGTTCTTACAGCAGTTATTGTTTCAGATGCTTACTTAATATTCAGTGGATTACTTTGTTAAAAAAGATTGCTTCGAACTATGCATCACCGCTCATTTTCATAGGCTTTCCTGGACTTATTACTTTGTACTTCCTATTTGGAGACAATGCAGCAATTTCCCCCTAGAATTTGAACTCTGTTTAAAAGGCCAGTGGAAGAAATGTGTACATAAATTTGTACTCCATCCATGACCAGCTTGAAACATGTCTAGTCATTTTGCACTGGTGCTTCTTGCTTTCATTCTGTCCTGTGTTTTTTTCAGCATTGCTGTCGTTACAGTCTGCTCAGTTTTTACTGTATCATTCTGTGACATTGCATGTTGTCGTGTTTGGTGATCCAAAAATAATTTTGACTCATGGATTTCTCAGGAGATGCTGTGGCACGTATTTAAGACGGTCTTTCCTAGAGTACTTTTAACACAGAACGTGAAGGCTCTTTGGTGACTTTGTTGACATAAAAGTTGGTCTGCAATGGACATCATATTATTTTGTGAGAATTTAGTGAACAGTAAATATGTGAGGAAGTGGTTCTTATATGGTAGGTGCAGATTGTGAAAACATCTTTTTAACACTGCATATCCTGCTTTATTCTAGCTAAGAAACCCGTTTAAGAGACTGAAGCATTATATGAGGCCTGATTTTACTTTTTTTGTGCTCTGTAGATACAAGAGCACAATTCTGTTCATCTCCGGTGGAATTACTTTTAGTATGAATAAGAGTGTGAAGAGCATAAGACTATTTCTGGTAATTTATCTCCGTGTATTTCTCACATGCCTGTTGAGATCAATCCTCCATTTATCCCTTATGCCTTCCTCTCGACTGGAGTGGATGTGGCAATCTTAGGCAAGGCATCCACTGACTCAGGAGCTGCCTAAAGTCCCACACCTGGGCCACTTACTCTGAGGTTTGGCGAGAACCATGTGGTTCAGGTGGACACGTGGCCCTGTAATGGTGCAGAGGGCTGGTTGCTGAGCTGGAAGGATGCGAGGGGCAGCAGGGTGTCCCCTTGGCCCTGAGAGTTGGGAGAGAGACGGGCTGGTGGTGGTAGGAACAGCAGACCCACAGTCCTGTGTGCCCATACTGCCCTGTGCATGGAGCTTCCTCTCTATAGTGGCCCACAGGCAAACGGCAGGTTAAAGCCCAATGAACCCACTCCTCCCAGTCCAAGTGTAACTATATCCCTGCTTGGATCTGCATCCAAATATACAGAAATCAGCAGAAAGACCTCTAGAACACTTCTGCATCAGCCATGTGAAGCCCGACTGCTGCAACTCAGTGTGGGAGGGCATAGGAGTATTTCTGCCTGGTGCTTTTCTTAGTCATCTTTCTCACTCTTTCCCTTCCTTGTTGTTTTGCAAGTTTTCTCATTCTGAGGAATAAGAGACAGACTCTGGAAATGCTCTGCCTCTAGTAAGGTTTTGGATTTGTTTGTTAGGATGCTGACATGGGCTGGTCTTGATCTGGAAAGCATATGCCAGTGCTAAAACTGCTCATCAAAACGGAGCTCAATCATAATAATTGTTTGGTAGCGCTGATGCTACTGGAGATAAATGGTACTCCAAAGTGAAGCCCCGCATTAAAACAGTGATATCAGTCACTGAGGCTCATGCTAAGAGCTGAGGAACAAGAGTGGTGAGAGCAGAACAAGTGTGTGAGCATTGTTAAATCCAGGCACTAAAGCAGATAAGTAGTCCTTACTGAGATCACTGGAGCAAGAATATTAGTAGGTAGTAAATTACTAGCATCAAAAGTGTTCAAGACTTTTTGTGGAAGGATCACTCTGATACTTTCTCATTAAGAAACGTGTATTGTTAGTATATGCCAGCATGTGTGACAATTCATAGATCTTGATTTCAAAGAAACTCCTTGCGCTGTTAGTGTATATTCCTGGCCTAGTTTCTTGTATCAAGTCATTAATATGTTGACTTATGATTATTCAGGTAAATGGAATTTGAAATTAATTGGTGTGTGTCAGGAAGAATTGCATGCCAGCAAAATACCAGGTGACTTCTTCGCGCCTGCCTTGTAAAAGAGAGAGGTGATTGTGTATTGCGTACGTTTCAAAACCACAAAGTAAATTACTAATGCAGTTATATAAAGCACTCTAGAATTGTTAATAAATAAGACAGGATAAGTAATTTATAGAGTAAATTATTTAACAAGTCACGTGAGCTTGTGCTAAAAAAAAGGCATATTGAAATTCATCTAAAGCTCAGTGCTGTTGGTATTTTGGGTCTCTTTCATTTTAGATTTCTAGACCATTGTAGATTAAATATAATGTAAAGTTATCTAGAAGGTTTCTCAGCTCCTAGCCTTTTCTTCCTCAAAGGAACTGTTGGCTCTGCAGTGTTACGTGGCTTGGCTGGATTGGAAAGCTCTTTCTAGTGGCTTGGAGTTACACAGTAAAATACAAGACACTGGGCTACAAATTATTAAAGGGGTTTTGGACAGTGGTGATATAATAGCTCATTTTAGGAATTTGTCACTTTTTTCTCATCTTTCTTTAAAGTTTTAGGTGATGGGTTAGGGTAAGTTTAAAGTAAGCATTGTGAAAATCAGTTTTTTAATTTCCAGACTCTAAAAACATTCAAAAGATCACAAATCAAGGGGTTTTGTATATGCTGGGTATTGTTGCTTGCAGGTCACCTTCTCTATGGCATGTTTTATTCCTTGTCTTTCCGGTTGGTAAGGAGAGATGGGGCTTCTGGGGGCTGGCAGAGGCTCTCTCCAACAGGCTGAGGTGAGCTGGGTGGGTGCAGCATCCATCAGGAGGTGTTCAGCCTTGTGTAGGAGTGGGCTGGCAAAACACTGCCTTTGGTCGTTTGAGTTTTAAAAGATGTTTGAGATTTATACATGAAAATGAAGGCCATTTCTTTGGATTCAAGACTTTACTCTTGAATATGCTGTTTTCAAGAGGCTTACATTTCCTCCGCTACTGATGGGAAAACAGAGGGCTGGGCAGTCCAGCCTCAGATATGGTTAGGAGAGCATTTTCTGGATTTCTCAGTTTTTTGCTTTTGTTGTTGTGGTTGTTTTTAATGCTGAAAGTGAAAGGGGGACAGCAGCATAGCAAGATTTTAGATCTCAAATCATGATAAAATAAAAACTTTTATATAACTAAACAAGAGCCTTATTTCTACATTTTGGATTTTGTTGTCAAGTAAGAGGGAAAAAAAATCTTTCTGGATTACGTTTCTCTTTCCTCCCTGTTTGTCATCTCTCACTGCGGCAGTGTCTAACAACACATCGATGACGGTGGCTAGCAGAATCTCCTTGCCCAAGCTGGATGTGTGTAGCAGGTAATGAAGAGTTATGAACGATGAAAAATGGAGCAGGGAACTCTAAAAACCCAAAAAACCCTCTCAATACTTATTGATGTTAAAAGTATATTTAGCTTGTCAAATCTCAAAAGCCTCTCTTTGAAAGCTGTCTTTTAAAAAGTGGAGCACTGATTGTATTAATTCACATTATTTCAAATGGAGAAATAAATTTACAGACGTTTGAAAGCCATATGCCTGCACTGCTCTGTTACTTCACACTGTTTGTGTTTGCTAAGATCTTTTTATAGTAATGTATGTAGGCACAGAGGTGCTATAGAAATCAAATATATTGGGCATGCACTTTAATTCAACTTTTGAGAGTGAGCCCATATTTTCAGAAACCACATAAAGCAAACCAAGC